TTTGAACCGAATAATAACCTACCCTTAGGTGTAGATTAATATACCCTTTTGAATAGCAGCTAATAGTAATATACCCTCTAGCGTATTATAATAAACCCTCTCTTTGAACCGAATAATAATCTACCCTTCATTGCTGAATTAGAAACGTTTGTGAAAAATGCGTTTATTAATCTACCCCTAATCGTTTAATAATGAACTGCTTTCCTTAAAATATGAAATACAAAACCTTTAAAAGAGCTCCATATACCCTGTGCCTCTTCAAATACCCTTACGCTCAAAAACCCTTTGGATCATGAACCCTTCAAGGGTATATTCCATCCTCATAAACCCCTCAAGAGTTTATGAAAAGGAAAATCAAGGGCAAGGGTTGATTATTCTGCGCTTTTTTTTACAGTGTAGGATCTGCTTGTTATGGCAATATTTTATCTTCGATTCCGGATATTTTCTTTGTCAGGTTGAGAAGTATAATCATTGAATTTTGTCGGATTACGACTTCATGTAATCGGATTCTATCGGGTTGAACCCTAGGGATATTAGTTTAGCATTAGCATTGTAGTATTTAATACTTTTGTATTACATTTAAGAAAAATAATTTAATTCTTTCAGATTAGCATTAGCATTGAATTAGTATTAAGTTATTACCAGAGATGAGTACAGGGCAAGAGTTTTTGTCCTGTCCTGCTTGCTACCTTCGTCCTGGCGGGAGGTAGGACAGGACAAAAATTAAAACCATGCCCTCCAGTACAATACAGGACACCAGGGCAGCAGGACCACCTGTCAGATACTCCTCTCTGGTTAATACTCACACCTGCTATCAGTACAGGAGCTTTTTTAAAAGATGTATTAATTTAGTTTGACTATGAGTCATATCCTTCCTGAAACATTATTGATTTCATTCGAGATCAATTTTTATAAATGAAAAATTCTGCTTAATCCTTAAAAGCTGAAGAAGAGTTTTTGAAAATGAAAGAAGGCTGGCCACTAAAATTGAACCTCTAGTCATTCAATAAGAATTGTTTATAGTTAAAAGAAAAAAACATTTTTCACAGAGATATCGCATGTCCCTGGAAGAGCCATTCGGTCTTAACGGTCCAAATATCTTAGTTTTCTGAATATATATGAAGAATGTGTTTTCTTGCAAATTGTTTTGTTTATTTTGTCGTATACACAATAAATAATAAGAGACTAATATTTTCAAAAACACATATTGATGTCCATATTATAGTCATTTATTTTGTAGTATGATATTGAATGAAACAATTTTTATTTGCATTAAGATATAAATGCACATTACATTTGGAACATGTCCAATATGTTGTTCCTGAACACATTTTGTTCTTGCGTCGAATATTATTTAAAGCAGAGACAAATACTGACCAATGGCTATAACAATCATATTTGGCAACTTTTGCTACACGAGATTCAGCGTCTCATAGATTTTTTGGTGGCGGTTCATTTTCTTCATCGTGATGTGAATCATTTGCTGTTGGATTATCAGGCGTTGTTGATAATAGTTGAATCTTTGGTTTTCTTAATAGAAATTTAGCTATTTTGGATTTAAAATGGAATAATCTAAATGATCCGTGACTTGTTGAATTATAACTGTTACTATCACGACGACGACGACGACAATTCATAATAATCTAAGAGTTAATAATCATAAGATCTACGATTCTCCATACGATTCTGGTATACTATAGTTTCGATTTGAATGGGATAGGATGTAAAGCTACCAACATATCCATGGCGTCGACCTCTCCCATGATTTTTTTATACTGATTAATAATTTGAGGTGCTGTAATATCAACGTTACGCCGATTCTCTTTGTCCCAATGTTATAATTTTGTTTCTGTTTGTACACCTATGTGATTAGAACCTAGTAACACCCTTGTTGAGTCTTTCCACCCCACCACAATGCAGGTATTATTGTCCGATATAAAATATTCGTAATAACCCCTCTTCTTCTTTGCAAATTGTTTTTCTGTTGATATTGGACATTTCTGCAATTGATTAGATCGTAATGTACAGGTTACTCCATAACCAAGTTGAGCTAATGTTTTAATTAATTTACAAGATGCAAAGTAGTTATCAATAAATATTGAAGAGCCAGCAGGAGCATCTTTAACCAAATCTAATACAGCTAATACTAAAAAACCAAATTGTTTTAGAAGTGTTTCACGTGCTGTGTCAAGTGATTTCGTATTATTCATTGCTGTTGTTGTTGTTGTTGATCGACATGTAATAGGTTTTGAAGATAAATCAGATAAAACTAATCCATTAGATACAGTTTTCGATGTACCATAATGTAATATCATTTCATAAACAAAAGCTGGTATACCACATCTGGTCCAAACTTTGAACTCTCTCTTAGTGAGTTTCTCTGACGTAAATTGTCGAAAAGATGTATGTGGTGTTGTTCCTTTATAACCTATCATCTGTTCGTGGATAGAAAGATTTTTTTTCTGGGTTAACAATAAACTTACATCGTTCATTAAAATATGTGAATAAAGGTTCAACTTTTCGACTTTATTTTTCTCTAATATATTATCATGAAAAGGGAGTATAGATAACAAATACATTATTCGATCACGACTGATAGCATCAGCAACCACAGATTGTCGAGAAAAGAATGGCCAATAATCATGTTTGCTTGGTAGAGGGACCACATATGAATAAAAAAAAGAAAACCAAATAAGCAATTAGGATCATCTTCAGCCATAGGCACTTGTTGTGTTTTATTGGTTTGAATTCGATAGAGGCTTGATTGATCAACAATGTAAGAAACTAATTCTGGTGTGTAATATAATAAGAAAAATGTATTGATGATGGATTACGTGGTATTTTCGATTCAAAATCATTTGGTAATTCTGATTCACCTTCATAATGTGACATGTTAGATTTTAACTTTTTGCCGGACCAAGATTCTTGTTGTTGTATATTTGGTATATCACGTTCATCATTATCTGTTTCAGATGACAGGTTCGGTTCATAAGATACATTTAATTCTCCATCCAGGGCGAGAAACCAGACAGCATGATCTTACAAGAATCGTACGTGTGATCATATGTGATCTGATAAGATCAGAGGAAAAATTGTCGTCTCTGATTTCTTACACTAAGTCGTATCAGAACACTCTTGAAAGGTTCTGTTACCCATAGAAATATCACTGTGATATTTTAATTAAACTAATATCTCCTTAAAGTATCATGACAAATTTGTATTGAAAATAAATTGCATGTGTGATCTTTAAAGAAAAATATAGTATGATCTGATGCAAGATTTCAGAGACAACGATTTTGACCAGGGCAGTATCATCACTGTCTATGTCTATGTCTATATCACTTAAATCGGAATTGATTGAATAAACTACATCATCTGAACTATCTTTTCTGTTACTTTTGATTTCTGCATCATTTTCTAGTAGGTCTAATGAGCTGTTAGTCAAACTTCTATTCGTAGATGCACCAGTGAATTAATCGAAAAAAATGCTAACTAACCAATAGAAAAAAATATTATCGTTCAATTTACAGATGACGCACTGGTGTCATTTCACACTATTGTGAATCTTGTCTTTTCGTAGGGTGATCGAAAATTTGAACCACTATGAACGAATGTCCCTTCCAAGGGATATTTTGTTAATTATGTCATAATACATCGACAGAACAGTAAAAAAAACTCGAGCGCTGGTTTCATCCGATAAATAGATGATTCACCTCACAATATCACTTAAAAAACAGATGTCACTTAGGTCCTTATGGACAAGCAGGTACAAAATCGACGTCTAAAAATCAGACGAGTTCAAAGATTCATTGTATTGTCTGGCAGCTATTCAGGAACGACTTTTTTGTTTTTTTTTATGGCCTATAAGATCTTCTAAGTTAAACAGAACAAACCAGTTTGCAGAAAAAATTTTATTACTGGTTTTAATCAAATTTCTAGGTGTCCCTTGGAAGGGACACCCGACTCTTAATGGCTAGTTAGACGAAATAACAAAGTTTGGTAAAGTAGAAAATAGTTTTTAGATTTATCACACAAGTGTATTTATAAATCGACCGATCAGTGCAGCGTCTTTTACAATGATTTCTAAGACGATAGGTCAAGTGAAATATTTTTTTTTGTTCTGTATTTTATTGTAACATATTGCATGAGATTTTGAAGGTATGCAATAAAAAACGTAAGACGAAAAAGAAAGATAGCAGCGAGTAGTTTCGATCTACTGCCCTCTGAGTTATGAGCCCAGCACGCTTCCACTGCGCCACGCTGCTGGTGTTCATCATTCAGATAGGCACAAATGATCACAGTAGTTTTATTTCTTTTTTTTTACGAGAAATCAATTTCTATGAAATAACACTCAGTATCAATAGTATAAACTATTTAAAAAAAGGGTAGATTAATATACCCTTTAAGAGTTTATGAAAATTCTCGTAAATGGAAAAGGGTTTAGTCTATGTTGCAGTTTTGATAAACCCTTAAAGGGTATATTAATCTACCCTGTTTTTTACAGTGTAGGATACTAATGCCCAAAAGCATTCTCTCTTTCAACTTTAGTTTCGATGATAGCAAAACATGCGAAACTTCTTCTCAAAGTAGTTTCTAAATAATGTACATCAAGTTCAAATCGCTTAACCCTTTGAGCACAAGGTTGCTGTAGCAAAAATAAATAAATATTTTTTTTTGAAATACTGAACAATGCATTTATTCGCAAATACAAAGAATAAACATTGTGAACTGTTTCAATATATGATAATCGTGAAAACAACTACGGTAGGTGTCAGTGCAAGAGTGATCACATGAGAATGAAGATAATACTTACGCCTACACTAATCTTTTTCAATATAAGATGAAACACTATTTCTTTGTAGCACAATGGTCACTTCTTTTTAAATAAAAAGATTTTCATTTGATATTGTGAATAGCAAGAAAAAAACAAGAAAAAAAACTTTGGGCGTGGGCTTTGAACAAGATAGTGGCATCCGCACCCACACTCTTTTTCATAGTGACAGTTTTCGATTCGTGCATTGATTTTTAACTTCTGTACGCATCGAATTTCAGGTGTTTTGATAGATCTTGTTTAATTATATCTGACTGAAAAACATTTCATTTTTGTGGTGTAGTTTTCTTTTTAAATTGGCACCATAATTCTTTTCTTTCTCTCTCTCTCTGTCTCTCTCTCTCTCGTGACACTCGCGTAGTCAAAACAAAAAAAAATAGAAAGAGAAGGAAAACAAATAACATTTTTACCTATGTTGATTAATCCAACACGCATGCTTCTATAATATTGTATTTACATTTGTAGTAAGAAAAACGTGTAGAGCAGAAAATAGTGAATTTTGGTAGTGTAAAAACAAAGTTTTACCATCAATGACTCAGGTTATAGGTAAGATATATATATGATGAGTAAAAAGATAAAATACATCATATTTACTTTATTTTGTCTTCTTATTTCAGCTACGTTCATTATGGATTCCGGACCATTTCTTGACATAATTCCGACGTTATTAAATTATTTAGACTTGAAAAGTATGGTTTGCTTAGCACAAACTTGTCACTTTTGGAAAGAACGTATTTATAATGATTTAAAACTATGGCCAAAAGTGGTTGAATTACCTTATATGGGTCGCATAGACTGTTGTTATATTGGGCGTGAGGATCCTGAAACTGTAATCAAGATAAAATTATGGTCAATGGTTTTACCACCGAAGGATCCCGAAGCTTTGCAAAATGTATTGAGCAATATGGTATTATCCGAGGAGAGTGTACGGAGATTTCAGTTTGCTAAAAAGGTAGGACAGTAGGTAAGTAGATCAGAAAGCAACATGAGTCAATTTGTTTAAGGTCTGAATCTATAGACACTATTTCAAATAATGAAATTCTGTTTGAACACTAGACAGAATTTTCTAATGGAAGAAATTTAACTTTAATTTTTATACTTGTTTATGGCATTGATTCAAGCGATCCCAATTCCTCACTGAGAAATGCTTTCTTTCTTTTATAGGTTTTATTCAAAAACTTTATTCATACTGACGAGTCGCTGCGCCTGACTGCTTTTCTATTTCCATTAATTGAAGAAATTAGCTTTGAAGGTAATCTTCTAACGATTGTCGGTGTTCGACACATAGCCACATCATGTAGAAAACTCAAACATATTGAATTCTATAATTGTGGCAACCTTGAAATATCGAATGTTCTTCGCCTATTTAATACCGAAAAACACAAACAACATTTAGAACGAATTTTTGTTCGTAACAACGATTCATCATGGGAAAATTCCAAACTAGCAAATGATACTGATGCATCGTTTATGGTACTATGCCAACGATGTCGGTTATATTTTAATGAGCTGAAAAATGAAAAAGAAATGTTGTGTCTATATCATCCGGGGGTAAGTATTGAGTGCTTAGTTTAAACATGAAATCTAATAATTGGAGTATTTCTGAAATAATGTCTTATTGAAACCATCAGGTGAAGAAGCAATCATTAAAATTCACAGAAAAAGCTATTCAGCACAGCTCCTTTGCGGCTAAAATGTGGAACTCACGTATATCCTTGAAGCGTCGATATAGCCCAGGTCGACCAATCGGAATCCCTCCGATCCGACTCGCATCCAGGAGGATCTTATCGGATTTTATCGGACCCTACAGACCTATCGTCGGATTCCGAGTTCTAGATTCGAAGTTGGATCCTCAGTGTCCGATTCCTATGAATTCCAAAGAAACACTGTTGGATGTCATTGGAAGTTCAATGGGTTCCGACGTCAATTCCTCGACCCTGAATCCTATAAGATTCTGTCGGATGGTAGGATACTAACAAGTTTCTATCGGATTCGATGTGGGATTTCTCCACCTGGGAAACCAATAAATATGTGTAAAATGAAAAATTTCTCACACTACTGATTTTTCAAAAGAATTGATCATCACAGCAAAATCTCTCTCATTTATTTTTGCATTTTCAAAAGATTATTGTATTTTGTTTGGCGCCCTTTTTTTCTTTCGCATTTTTCCTATTTTTTCGTTTTTTCTTCTAATTAATAATTGACTTTTAATTTCTGTAGGGCGGGGGGGGGGGGGAGTTTATTTATTGGGGGGGTGGCATGTNCCCCCCCCCCCCCCCCCCCCCCCCCCCCCCCCCCCCCCCCCCCCCCCCCCCCCCCCCCCCCCCCCCCCCCCCCCCCCCCCCCCCCTTTCTGTAATGGGAGGGAGGCATGTTTGCAATGGGTATGCCTGTAAGGGGAGGAGGCGCAAAATTCTGCCCCTTAAACTTACACTCATGATTTTCTTCAAAAATATACGTGAGTTCCACAAAAATTATTACTTTGAGTTTGCAATGAACTTTTCTCGTTCCAAAAACCTGTAAATTTTGAGAAAAAAAACATATACTTAAATCGTTTTCAGTTACAAATCCTTTTTGATACATATCTTGTTTCGTGAATGAAATTGCCAAACCAGAAAATAACATTAGAGAGCATTGTTTCCTTCGACTTTTTCTGGAGATTTCATTTTAATTCTATTCTAATTTCTGGTTAGATAATATGCAATTCAGAATTGCTGTTTTTATACTAACGCTTGATACTTTCTTTTGAACATAACCTAATGTTGGAGCTTCTACAGTATGATATAAGATTGTTAGCTGAGCATTGTGCGAACTGTTACTCCATATACGCAAATTTACAGACTGATGGTTTTGGTATTTTTCTTCTTGTTGCCCTTAGACATATGCCGGATATGGTCACAGCTGTTCATCGTTCAGCTGTTGTGGTAGTAATACACCATCATATGCGTCAACATTAGGCTGTCAATACACTTATCATGATAAGCATGGCAATTCTCAGTCGCCATATTCGAGAAGAGTGCATGAGTTGCATAATGGGTAAACATGCCAGAATAGTTTTGCCTTATTAATATGAACTCATACTTTTTTCTTTATAGACATCCGGAATATATGTTTCAAAAATATAGACATGATTTGTTTCCATTTCGTTTTACTGAACGACGTCGAGTGAATGAATATTTTCCAAAACTGGAAGGTGAATTAAAAGACGCCTAGCGCCGTTTCACCGCGAACCAGTCAGACAAGACTTTTAAAAAGGCGTTAAATCGCGTGTTTGTGAGTATTCTTCGTATAATTTACACCCCAGTGGCGGCGGTGCCACTGAGACCCATGAGGCTTGAGCCTCGCCTAGATTTCGCAAGATAAGGCTCAGCCTCACTTGCTTTTGCACTGATTATTGCTATATTTTATTCTTGCATCAAAGTAAGAACAAAAAAGAATATATTTTGGTATTTTCCAATCTTCTTTTTATACTGATCATTTTTATTTTTACTGAAGTTCAATAAAAAGAAGTCTTATTTTCTGCTTGATGCTTTCATAAAATTCTACACTAGAAAAAAATATATTACGAGCCTCGCCTAGCTTAATGATATTCCGCCGCCCCGCTACATTCACTCTCACACCCTCTAGTCTAAGTGTGCACAAAGCCTTGCGTATATAAATATTGAATCAAGCATGTATGGCGGGAAAAATTGTTAAACCTTCACATTGAGTTTTTATGATGCCTAGCTGTTATCCTGACATAGGGAAAAGGACACAATAAAGCAAGTTCTTCTTCCTGTGTGACTGTTGAGTGCTATTTAGGCTGCATAAGTTACATTCGAATTTATATGTGAGCATGATAGATTGCATCACATATAATTCAACAAAGTCGACTAGCGTAGGCTCCCTCACTACATGAAGATTTTAATATGCATGTGACTGAACGAAGAAGTGACTTCCATCCTTCTACACACCTGAACTTATCTTAGCGTATCTTTTATATTTGTTTTGCTCCGAATAGCAAAATTGTTATGGAAGACAAATGATTCGTTATACTGAATAATAGGCTTTAGTTAAGCTCTGTGAAAAATTTTGATGAAAACAAGTTAATGTCAAAAAATCTCCTCATCATTTTTTGTTAGATAATTTCGAAACGAGAAATGACGAAGAAATGTTTCCTTTTGAACTATAAATCCAACATCCAGCTGTTGTAGACACTGAGTAAAATGTAGATCATGGTTGGAATACATATTATGTGTTAGCTCATGGCATATGACTATAAAATAAAAATTTACAATGGTAAATACACTAGAATTCGGTTCGTTTGGTTTTCGAAGATAATCTTGAAGTTGACCGGCAAAAATTTGCTCGAAATAACGAAGATTAAAGAAAAGTGCACCATTAATATTGAATGCTATGCGAGCTAGAAAAGAAAAAAGTCATTATAGACCAGACGAATACACAAACTTGCGTCCAATTTCATTACAAAACAGATTTAATGCTTGAATATTAAGCCAAAAGACATTAGCAGCAACAGCGGTGAGTGCCCATGCGAGTTGTTTCGCTTGGTCGATCATTTTAGATGTTTTAGTTATGTTTTGTTCGAGAGACAGCGGTATGGAAGTATCAACATTTTCAAGACGTTTCATGTTGGCTGCAGGCAAGTCTACATACGAGCAACAAAGCTCTTCTTTAGTATGTTCACCCTGAATAAACGTTAAATTGCAATACGCTTGACTGGGTTGAACTATACGACGCATTTGTTTGACATTATTCGCGTCAAAGTTTTTGAAATCTTCGGGGAAACGAATCACTGATGTAGGATTCGAAGCGCGCAGTTGTTTTTTGGCCGATGCTATTTGTGGAGCATCATCAATGTTGGAATTATTATGATGAATAGATTCAGGCATGTTTTCAACTGAATTACTCTGAAATAAAAGGTGTCATATGGAACTGTTTATGGTTCTAGTTAAAATGCTGAACCTTTTAAGGTTTCACTCGTTTATTAATAAACCGTCGAGGGTTTTAGCTAGCTTAAAGAACCATTTCAGATCCTCAATAATCCCGGATGTTTGAAAAGGTTTCGGCCTGCACCATTTTTCCAAAAATGGTTCTGGCTTGAACCAAGATGCTATATTTTCGGAACGTGATTTAAGTAATATAAATCTCAAATAGGTTATTGAGGTCGAGAATTCCGAATCCGTTATCATTTTTTGCATCCCACCTTCCAATGGTCAGAAATTAAGTCCATCAAAAATTCTACGGGTCCAAAGTTAGGCTCTTTATTTCAACTCCGATCTCAATTATAATCAAAGTTTGAAATAGATTATCAATGTCCAGGAATCCGAATCCGTCATCATTTCTTTTATGCCAGGAATGCGATAGTTGAATGATGGGCCTGGGTAGTTGTGTCTCTCCAAAATCAATTCAATAATTAGGGATACATTTGAAATGCGATTGTTCGTTTATCTTTTTGGATATGTCACATGTATCAATAGATAGGTAATGTCAATCTGATAAAGTGAATTCAAGATTTTTTGTAGTTAGGCATGTATGAATAATAAATTCAAATGCAAGTTTAATATGATAAAATGAATTAGGTTTTTTTTCAAGGGGTAAAGTGCTGGCTCCAAGCGCCAAATTTTACTACAAAGCGCCGAAGGTGTTGAGTAGATGCTGAACAGGTGCTGAAGGTGTGCCGAAAATGTGCTGAAGAAGTATTGTAATTGCTCGTGATTGTAGAAGAGTTATGTAAAAATCAAGTGGTAAAATATGATAGAAAGATAGCGCTCTCTGTTGTATGCACAATTTAATCACAATATCAGTGAACTCATCGAAAATCCAATCAGAAATTTACCCATTTCTATATCTCATAACTATATAACACTTTAAATCCCATCTCATTGATTTTTCTGTACTCATGAAAGAGAGAAGCAACTAATATTCTTATAAATATCAACTTCGCGTTTATATTTTTCAATCCTATTGATTTGAATATGTGTAACATATTCTTTTTAATACACTCAAAACAGCACATACCATATGAAATTATTAACAAGTAATCAATCAATGTAAAACTCATTTCATATAACCATGCCATGCTCTTAAAAGCTTGACTCCGGAGAAGATTCATGATGTATGTACTGTTGCTTATGAGAAAAATCGTCAAACCCATAATCTTCATGAGTTCTTTCAGAAACGCCCACTCAAAAGAGAAGCAATATCGCATATTGTATCGGAGTATCTCTGCTTGCTATTACTATTTAATTTAATTTAATTTATTTTCTTTAAAAATATGTCTATTTATTTTAGATAAATTGTTTTAGTTTGGTTATGCCAGCAGTCACTCAAAGGCTAACAGAAAAAAAGAATATTTTACCTGAAGACATTTTCAGTTATAACAATGATCTTTTTTATGAATGTATTAAACAAGCATATGGTAATGATATTGCTGAATTATTCAGCTTTCAAGCTATCAGGAATGCAGGACTTCTTCTCGATACATCATGTGAAGATATTCTATTGGTTTTACAACAAGAATCTGATGACATTGATGCTTTAAAGAAAATGTGTTGTTTCGAAGTTGCTGGTAATAAGTATCAAGTTAAACTAGGTGTCAAACTTACCATTAACAATTTAATTCAATCGTTAAAGTTAAAACAAGAACAAAAACAAATTAAAAAAAGAAAGAGATATTCTAATCAAGGTTTAGCTTCGAATACGAATAGCGTGACACCACTCAATCAAGCACAAACACAAGATACATTAACTCCATTAGAATCAACATTATCTTCTTCATTGACAACGAATATATCGTTTATTCAATCAACATCAACACCAATGCAACGAAAATTAGATGAACTTGGTCATACAGCTGATATTGAAGAGCGAATAGATCGACGATGGGTTATTCATAATGATGCTGAACGTGCTTGTTTAGAACAAGGTATTGATTACTTTTTGGCAATCAACAAATCATCAATTAATACATATACTTGTGTTTTATCATGTAAATGCCATGCTCGTTTTAAATTACCAGTTATGGCACCAGGATTTCTCAGAATGTCATCATTCTATCGACATTTAAAGGAAAAATAGTGCATACAACTTGTAAATGTAGTAAAAGTTCCGATATTTAAAATAATAATTTTATGAATTTGTATATTTAGAGGTTTGGAAAAGAAAATAATTTAGTTCATGGTGAAATTTCTTCTTCAAACCAATCAAAAACATTACATAGTGTTGCAACGTCATCAGGAATTGAATCACAACAAGTTAAAAAAGCAGCACACACAACTACATCAAAACGAATTAGACCACAATCAGGTCGTCATGGTGTTATCAAAAAAAGAGTTCAAAATCTTACACCAAACAGTATGAACACTTCTCAAGAATAGAAAACTATGATAGTTATTACACGTTATTTATTTTTGTATGATTTAACATTTATCTCTTGTTTGAACGTATGAAAATATAGTACAAAAAATTTAATCACTTGTGTATTCGACTTTTTATGGTCTCCTAATGCTTTTTGTTAAAAAAATTTTATTGTTTGTATTTCATCTTATTTTTTTATACTGATATGAAAAAAGGCAGATTACTCTTTTTTGTATTTGAATTGAAACCATCTATGATTGTACCTATACATATTAATTTACAATAAAAAAAAGATTTTTCTATGGAACTTATTGATTCATATACTTTTAGGGAGATTTGTATTTTTCTATACTTTAATTAGTAATCAACAGTATCCTAATTTCATATTACTATCATATAATTAAATAATAGCTATGGATATTCTTCAATTAACAGAATTAACAGATGATATGATGAATTTATCTCATGAAGACTTTTATGACTTCATAGAAACTGCTCTGAATAAAGATTTATGCGATCTTTTTCGATTACAATCTGTTCGAGATATGTCTTCTTTATCATCCATAACAGTAGATGAATTAACAGCAGTACTTAGTTATGATATTGTGGAATTAAGTTCTATTAAAAGAATACTTGGCTTTGTATCAACTGATGGGAAATTTCATCTTCGAATTGGATTTAGAGTTACACTTGAACGTTTAATTTCATTAGCAAAATCTAAAACAAATTCTTACGTAAAAAACTATGAACTAAAACGTGACCAATTGGAACATGATCTGCTAGGTAAACTAACAGAAGTTTGGAAACAAGGACCTATGTCTTCCGGTACAAGTGATATTCCTATACTTATTCCTTGGATGAAAAATACTTTTGAAAATTTTAAAAAACAAAAGAATAAATTTACTTATGATAATCTGATTCAACAATTTGCCCTGTTATTATTTATTCTTGGTGGTAGAAATTGTTATGAATTTCTTCGATTAAATTTACCTGCTGCTTTACCTCATGTATCTAATGTTGAATTATTGATGAGAAACAATGAACAAAAAATACTTGAATGTGAATTTCGTTTTCAGTTGATAAAAGAATATTGCAAATCTAATAATTGTAATTATGTATTTTCGTCCGAAGATGCCACTCGTTGTATCTCTCGTATTGATTATGATGCACAATCAGATAGTTTTATTGGTTTTTCTTCATGTTTAGTCAATGGATTACCACAACCAAATTTTTTCCAGACGAATAAATTCGATGAATTGAAGTTGTGGTTCGATACATTTGATAAATCGGCATATATTAATCTTCATATGATACAGTCTGTCGCGCCATCATCACCTCCATTCATTTTATCGACTTATGGATCAAATAATAAGGCTACTGCAACTGATGTTTTAAAAAGATGGTTATATATCTACAATCAATGTTTATGTCAAGGAGTTCGGGTGATAGGTTTCAGTAGTGATTGTGACGCTCGTTATCTTAGAGCAATGAGATTATGTACTCGATTTTTTGCACAACTACCTAATTTAAATCTTGTTAAACAGAAAGATAATTTTCATTTACAGATACCTGAGCGATGGTCTTGGTTTTTTATGAGTGGACAACAAATTTTACTTTTCATGCAAGATCCTATTCATGTTGCGACAAAATTTCGGAATAAGCTACTTTCTGAAATAGCATCTATGAAAATGGGCGACTATCATGTTAGTATTGAACATTTGATTAATTTGATAGAATCAAAAAACAAAATCGAACATAATTTAATTAAAAGTGATATCTGTCCGAAAGACAGGCAAAACTATGCTTCGTGTCGACGAATATCGTCGGAATTAATTCTACAATTATTAAATAAGATGGAAGATTGTAAAGGAACATACATTTATTTGTCATTATTACGGTCAATTATAACAGGATTAATAGAAAAATCAACAACAATCCAAGAGCGTTTGTATCATGTATGGAGTGTGGTATTCACGTGTAGGTTTTGGTGGACATGGTTACAGTATTCGAAGCTAAAACTTAATTATGATGATAATGATCATGAAAAAATAGATAATATTAAAGCTAATAGTTTTATTACCAAGCCAACGTTCTGGTGTATAGAAATTAATGCACACACCTTACTATACATTGTTTTATTAGTTATTAAAAGAAAACTACCTATTGATGCCCTTAATTCATATCTTTTTAGTTCACAAACATGTGAAAATACTTTTCGTATAGCTCGTGCCTTATCAGGTCCGTATTCTTCAATTACAAATTTCACTGTTAAGTCGTTTACAAAGAAATGCGAAAAAATATCGATTATCAATTCTATTAAATCTTGTGGTGGACGGATAGGTGAATACCATTTTAAATTTCCACAACATCATAAACTTGAAAAGGAAGCACACAACTATTCAATAAATCCTATCCAAAAGTTAAATTTAACGGAATCTGATATCGAAAAAATTATAGAAAGTGCATTTGAATCAGCTAAACAAAATATTGAAATCGTTAATATGACACAACTATTGAAAAATGAACATAAATATTCCATCTCCGAACTAAGTCAATATATAAAAACAAATATAAGTAAATCGTCGTCAAAAGTAATAGATTATACGAAAGGTTTTGATTTTGATGATGAGAGTGACGAAGATAATCTACAAGATGATGAAAATGATTCATCGATGTCTGATGATATAGATCAAATATCAGCGAATAGTACTGATGAAGAAGAAGAAAATGTTATTTCTAGTGATCTCTCTGAAGTTGAACGACAAACTTTTCATGGCTGCAGAATCTACGATAAAATTAATCCTCAACAAAGTAAAAAATATTTTCGTATTTATATCGGTTCGTCATTGAAATATATACATAAACAGACGGCCTGTTGGATGTTAACAGACAACCGAAGCCACTTATCAAGTGACCGGCTAGTACGAGTTCGCACATCCGAAATGTGAATCATTTTTCTAAAACTATTTCTTTTAATTTGATATTATGAAGCGATTTTGACACCGTTTTCTGTTGTTATTGAATTATGTGTGTATTTGAAGGAAAATTTCATTTCTATTATTGAAAATAAAGTTTGTTTCTATAAACCATTTACATATGAATGACCTAGGCTTCCGCACCAAGAAGGTGCCGAAGGTGCTGAAAAGGTGCTGAGGTGCTGGGGATTCCAAACCTGCACTTTCCCCTTGAGTCAGAGAGTTTGAAAATTCTAAAAAATTCTTCTGGGAATTCCACTGAAAGGTCATACATCCTAAAACTCCCAGGGTAATCTTGCAATACTATTTTTCTGTCAGTCGGCTTTGAGTAGATTATAAATATGTATTGCTCTTCTGACCGGAACCCTTCATTTTCTATTTAAACAGCCCGGAAGTTGAAGAAACAGTGAAAATCGTCCCACTAAACCGTTTATTTTATTGGGGAGCTTTGGTTGGAAACCTATCCGAATCTGATATCCAGATAGTGCATTGAATGCCTATTCTAACCCATATAAATTTATTAATTAAATATTGTGCCTAGCTAGAAATATTTAGCTGCGAAAAACTGAAAAAAGTTCATTTTTGTTCGAACCATTTTAGTACAAAGGAAACGCCGAACGAAAACGTACCCGCTCAATAAAATGATCACCTCACTGAATAGTATCTGCTCAGTAGGTTTCACATGTCTATCATTTAGAATGGATATATTCCAGGTATGATGTTTTGGCTAAGAAATCACAAATTGTGTTCCCCATTTACACCCGTTTGCTGAATTTTCAAAAATTTTCAAATGCGCAGCTGTGCTAACAAGTACAAGCCCTACAAACTCTGAAAGTTTCCTTCGATTCTGATGAAGTGAATTTAGAGTCTGATACATCCTCAAAACGTCAGCCTCAGATTATTTGGTCGATATCTATACATCCTCAAAACGCCAGCCCCAGATTATTTGGCCAATATCTTTATGAAAATAATATCAAACATTAAATAACTGAATACCAAAATGTTCAGCGCCAAAAGCCCTACAAAACTTGCACGTTCCAAGGAATTTAAATACACTTAATAATGTAAAATGATCAGATTTGACTGAAAAATTCATGGAAAATTCGCCTTCAAAATAGTTTTTGGGCTTTCACACCCTCAAATCGCAGTGGGGAAGAAAACGAACGCGCACATGTCGTAGAGCACATTTCGCTCTATCGAACTGCTAACGCCAATATTCTGATGAATTCTTACAAAAACATAGATTTTTTCAAACACTGTTCCTCAATAGTGCATCGCAAAACGACCTGGTAGCCCGTGAATGTTCTTCAAGTTAGTTCAATTTCTACGGATTCTTATGCAGTTTTTCACAAGGATTCTGATATGTGGTTGGTTTTAAAAGCCGAGTGAAAAAACTGAGATTTTCATCACTTTTTTCGGAAAGAATGCTTTTTTATTAACTGTAAATAAGAAAAGTCTACTTCTTGTATTTGACGTGTATCTTCGAGAAAATATTATTTATTTTAAAAACGTTTATTACCAAAATGATCAGCACAACATTCTCTACAAAGCCTGTATCTTTCAATGAATTGTGGCTTGGTCGCCGAATGAACCTGGTGGTTTCTGGCGGAATGGCCCAATAATTATCCACCCACCCCCACCCCCACACCCCCAACGCCAACCCTATCCCAAGTACCCAAGCTCACGAAACTGGAACAGTTTGGGTGTAGTGTATCTCTAACGTAACTGTGACTTCTCACTCCTATCGGGAAGTAGGGCAACTTTGGCTTAAAGCCTACATTGATCATTTCCTTCGAATAGATGTGAATTTGAGACTTGGCAAAATTCTCAACGAGCAGAACTCAATAATGCTGCTTACTATGCTTACTACTGGCTATAACGCAGAATTCTTAAGAATTCTGCCCGAGCTCTGCTGTAAATACAGAGTTCGTAGATGCATTCTCGTTTACAAGATATGCTATAGGTACAGAATGCTAGTACAAATATAGAATTCTTAAAATCTGTTTGGTGAGAATTCTGCAGAAATCCGTCGGAAAAAATGCGGATTCAAACCCTATGGGAACGGAACACACAATCCTCGGGATCTGCCACTGCCACGATTGGCTATCCTTGTTTCGCAATAGTGCCGCCTTAGACCAATTTCTAGGTTCTTGAGGGAGTGGGTGTGGGTGCTTCATTGTTTTATCTCACAGATATAGTCACACCCACACCTTTTGAGATCATGTTTCAGAAAAGGAAAGAATTTGGCTTTTTTTCTGACGTATATTTAACTGTGTAAACATACCACGAGAGAACAATATCCAGATGTCTCTACGACTATCTATTGTTCATCACTGGCCACTTTGCTACATTAATAAAGTAAGCTACGATAAAGATCACACCCGACTCATCCTTCCCGATGAATGACGTGGATTGAACGATCATTACTTTCCGCATTTTGATAAACGATCACTTTGTTACCAATGATTGCCAATAATGCCTCTGGTTACGATCCGCTCTCCCTTTCCCTTGAATAAATTACTTTAATCGCACAAGAAACCCTAACGGGTAATGCCACTTTTAGGTTCCAGCTAATACTGCTGCTGCACATAAGGACCAATATGAAAGAAAAAAACATGTGGTTAGCAAGCCTTCTCAAGTACAAATGGTGTTCAACACAAAATCGATATTATAAAACACGAGCGATGTGGACTATGTCTTTATTCTTATCCATATTAGTCGTACTATGCTTTCATAAGTTGATTGGTTTTTTCCAACCACAAATATCGGATATTTTTACAGAGGGTATGCATTATGATCATCGCAACAACGCCATAAACAATTCAAATTTACTTCACTCAGAGCCCAATGCACTGTGTGTACTTGTACGCATTTATGGGCCACAGGTTCCATATTTAACAGCCTTCGCACTTGGGTTTCTTCATAATAGTTTCGATTATCTACGGATGTACGTTATAAACACTCACCCAAGTACTGATAACCAACTGCTCTCTAGGACAATTGATGCAATCAATCGAATAGCTCTCCGGGCGAATTATATTACTCTTCTTAACTTAGGTAAACCACTAGATAATGATTATGGATACACTTTGACCGATCATGCACTTACTTATCTCTACAATCAATATGAAAGATCTCCATCAATGTGTCAGTACATTATTATAACAAATGGAGATAACTTATATTCTCGACACTTGGGTAGCAAAATTCTTCCTCTCATGAAAGCCAAAAAAGATATCATAGCTTGGGACTTCGTAACTCGCTACCCTCAACCGTACCTGATAGAACTTATGAACGGAGGGAAGCCGTTCAATTATGAAGTCTCTGATGACGGGACAGCGAAACATATGGAAGTGTCACTAGAAACGGGTTTCGTCGATTTAGGAGCAGTAGCCTATCGACTATCGTTTCTCAGCCACTACCGACTTAATTTTAGTTACTCAAACCGGGCATATATTCCAGAATCTGATGGTTTATTCGTCGAGATGGCATCTCGTCTGACAAATAATATAGTCCTTGTTAGGCAAATATTGTATATTCATCAGTAATCCTTGTCTTTCTTCACATCAACTTCAGCATAGCACACTAACGTATTTTTCTATACGACAGCTTCTATCAGTGGTTAACTATGTAAATAACCCAGGTCAGCAGTGTCACATATCCGACATTTTCCAGACGCTGCGACACCCCCAGTGGGAGGCGCTAGATCTCTTACGGAAGATGTGGTATCTTATGCGGGGAATTGGCATCTCCAGCGAGACACGTGGCATCTCCAGCGAGACACGTGGCATCTCCAGTGTGAGATGCCGTGGGATCTCCAAAATTTTGGATATGTGACACTACTCGCCAGGCGCATGCATTCGATACCCAATTCGAACGGACTGCCTAAGCGTGGGCGTGAGTATGGGAGTAGATTGGTTTCAACAAAATTATGAGCGAGTCACACCAGCCGTCGTAGCAATAGCCACCCGCACACCCATACCCACACCCTGTTAAAAGGACGATGCTGTTATAGGATTGAAAAAGTTATAGAAGCTGCTAATAGTTACGAATAGGGTTGTGCCGAGACCGAGGCTTCCCATCTCCGTCTCAGTCGTCGCGCTGGAGGTTTCGGTCTCGCTCTCGTTTGCAGTTACCTCGGTTCCAGTATTGATGAGTGTTTGTCTCGGTTCATCCCTAGTTACGACTGAATAAGTTATAGGAATCCCCTCCCACACTGCGCAGAAAAATACAAGGGATGCCACTCTATATGTACTGAAATGTTGCACAGATCAACCCTAGGAAGTTCTCACATAGTTCTAATTATCATCATGGGGTAGGTCCAGAAAAGTACAGGATCACCTCTTGGTAGTTTCTTACAGGTTCTAGGCACAATCTGTAAGTAGATCCCAAATAGCTAAAGGGAACACCCGTTGGTAGATCCTAAAACGTCTGACCACTCTTTCTGACTAACCCCTTACAATTTCTAAGTACGACCCTGGGTCAGCCTCAAAACACTTCAAAGTATGACCCTTATATGATCCTTAAAACGTTCTGAGTATCACCTGTAGGTAGACTCCTAATAGTTATAATGGCCAGTTCTGGTCTCATCCTGGAAACTTCTAATACAATATCCCGGTAGATCGCAAGTAGCTATAATAAATCCTCCTGGATATGTACTAAACAATTCTAAGTAATATATTTGGGTCGGTATTTATTACGGTAATAATTATTACACGTTATTATTTATCAATTGTTGCTTTTATGTTTCAATTTTTTTAAATTTATAACTGGTAATAAATAATGAAGTAGGGTGATTCCGCCAGCTTCCTCCAGCGATTTACGGTGACCATCTCAGAATTTGATGAAACTTGGAAGGTTTGTAGAGAATTTTACGCTGATCATTTTGGTATAAAAAAGTCGTCACCTTGACTGGGAAATAGCGGAGTTATCGTAAAAATACTTTTTGAGGATTTTTTTTCAAAAAAAACTGCTTTTTTCAGTGTTTTTGTCATAACTCAATATTGTGCGTATATTTTTTCCAAACCAAGGATATATTCTTGTAGCGCGTTAAAAGCTCTATCAAATGACGCATTTCGTTACAATGTTTAGTCACTCTGTGTATGAAAATTCCGGACTACAGCAAGGCACACCCTCAACAAAGTTTGCTATTTTTTGCGGTCGAAAATGAAATTACTGGAATTGGTGACATATACCATTCGATAGAGCGAAATTTGCTCTATCTCCCACTGTAGGTACTTTTTCACGGGAGTAATGTTTAAAAACAAAATACGCTAAAAACTGAAAAATGTGGCTTTTTCGTGATTTTTCGAAGACAATCCCACTTTTTCTCATCGATAGCATATCTGAATGCTCAGTTTGACTTCGGATTCGGAATCTGCATGAAAAACTACATCCAATGATCCATTTCGATGCATATCGAGTCATGTTATTTCGACAGATTTTTCTCTTCACTACTCTACGTGTCATTTTTCTCTATTTATTGATCCCTATGCTACAACAAAATTTCTTAGAGATTGGTTCTTTGCATTCCATACGCGTGTTTAACGTTAGAAAGACATGTTTACGTCGAAATAGGTTGACCTGATCTTAGGTTCGTTCGAATCTTCAATTTAGTATGGTCAATATGCAGGCTAATTACTGTGGAATAGTCATCGAATATTCGTTTTGCTGAGTTTCGGATGAAATTCATTGACGACAATTCGGATTTTGACATCACTGAAACAGTAATTAATGAATTTATGATTGTTCTCGACAACGTTTAGAGATTGATTGTGGGTCTCAGGTTTTTTCTATCGCAAGAGACGAACAATAGAGGCTAGTACTTTCATTTTCTTTTATTCGATCGATTACCACTCGGATTAAATTAATACGTATGGAACGACGTATTTTCGATAAATAAAATAGGTACTAAATACCTAGTGGTGTAGTTCGTTAGTTTCGATGATGGTAGAATTTGATGTTCGACGACATTCAACCGTCTGAATGGCTGTTGGATCAAATTGATGTTGACTTCGGATTTGTCTTATCCATCCTAACGTTACGAAAGAAAATTTCAAATAAGCTGAATCAGAAAGTTTTGATATTTGCCTTCGACTCCACGCTGATTCCATCGAGAACACAGGCGATACTTTTCGCTGTTTTGCTGGATTCTGTTTTTGTGCATGTAAAAGACATTAATTGCTGTGTTTTGTCGTGCGAACTTGTAAAGATCTTCAGGTGTGAAAATAGTACAGGAGGAATTGGCATAAAGTGCTTGTTTATTCGCTCGATGTTTGATCGCAGCGCCAATTCCATCTACAGCACTCTTGCCGTGCGCTGTGGCGCAAAATGACCATGAAGCAGGAATACCAAAGTCATTATAATGATAAGTCAGGTTAAGAATACTTTTATTGTTCTTGAAATGCTGAGGAGCACCGTCAGAGACATAGTTAAGTTTTTTTATCGAAGGATATAAACTTTGAACATAATCAACGATTATATTTTGAGCAGCGTGTACAAACTCAACGTTATGTTCAAGGTAATCACTAATAATAGCCATACTGTGATGATTATCTTTGTCGACTTTAATATGAATTGTAAAGATAGTGGCCTGTGGTGTTGTCCAATGCGCTTGCATTATTGAATTTTGTTGCTGAAGGCTGTAGTTTTCAGCGAAATCCATATGAACGACGATTGTATCAGATTCGCTGGCTCCATTCTTGATCGTTCGAATGTAATTCGATTGTTCAGTGGTAATGTAACTGTGCTTCAGAAATGTAAGCCATTGTGCATCGAACTCTTCCAGAAGATCGGCAATGGAACCATTTACTTTCTGTAATAATATCTGATTACTGGTAGGTGTTTTGGAAGAGAGATTTTCCGTCGTGGTCGGTGGCGTTCTTGGCTTGCTCCAGATCATCCAAGTTGAATCATCGAAGCGGCTGTGTTGGCCGAGTAATGGTTCGAGAAATGCACTAGGCACACTATCTTTGCCTAGAAGATAAAAATAAATTGCAAGCAAATATTGTTTTTTAAACTCACATGCAGCACATTCACCAAAGAAACATTTCTCAGCTGGTAACTGACAAACGATATTATTGATGAGCATCTTGCTGTCAATTTTCAAAGTGCCAAGTTTATTCCATGCCTGAAATGAATGCACCTTTTTTTCATTACTTCGAGTAAAAGTTATACCTTTATCAAGAACTCGTAATTTTCATGAAAAATACATGCACAAACATCGTGTGGCGTAAGTATTTTCACCCATTTTGGCCGACACGAGTAGAAGACTGTTTTGGACACCGTACAAAGAGAATTCCTGGCTTCCAGATTTTTAAGAAAAATTGTGTAAGCTTGCCCAACGGTCATCGTCATGTAGCGAATCGGAGTTGGTTGTTTATTTATATGAATCACTTCTTTTTTATTTGATGTTTGACGACTGATTGCATCATCTTGAAAAAATACTTCAATTTCATCAAGCAATGTGGGATCAATCGGAGGGTTGCCGCTAAAGTTTGTTATCTTTGCCAGAATACCAAACGAGCTTCGAAGTTCAATTGCCCTGCGAGCTTGCCATTCGTTGCATGAGAAGAATTTTTGAATTTGAGGTCGACCCCAGTAAGGTGGAGACAGGGTTAACAGACGAGTTTGTTCATCATAGTCGCTGGATTTGAATAAGAGTTTCATACCATCAAGCAAAATGTCGGTTTCACTGACAGAAAGTGATACATTTTTAGATTTCGTAGATTCAGAAGCTGCGTCGATTTCATTTGCCGTTTCTTTAATAATTTCTATCGCTCTTGTTACACTGCGTCTCATGCTACCCATTGTACGCCTAATAAAAACGATACTAACAATCATTACTCTACAGAAAATATAAAACTTACCAATCCGAAACTTTAGGCAGACCTAACACTTCAAACACAGCATTCAGCAAATTCTTGGCTTTACTTTGTCTAACTTCATCTTCAATTCCATCGGACTCTTCATCTTCTCGTGATGTTTGCAACAAAGATGATTCGAAACTCTTTTCCAACAAAGAGTCATCATCTGATGATTCCACGAAGACCAAATTTCTTGTACATCGTCTTTTTACACTTCTTTCAGCAATATGCATGTCTTCATATGCTTCTTCAATATTTTTCAAAGAGGTATTATGCAAATTTAACCTTGACAGTTCTTTTTCATAGCATGTTCGACATAGAACATCGTCTTCTTCAATCGATTGCACAGATGAACTTGATGACATTCCATGTGAATCATTGATAAATTTTGCTAACTCTTCATCTATTCGTCGATCTCCACGAGGATGACTTGGTTTTGGACCAATTTTCGTTTTTCGTAAATGATAGATTGGATGCGCGCACCATTGAACAGGCATGAACGGTTAAATGCGATGTCAAAAAAAATGATTTATCGAATTGTGTTAGATTTTTTTGCTCCCGATATTTACAAGACCAATCAAAAACTGAACTACGTCCTTCACTTATGATACAGCGTTATAGAAGTGGAGTATCCTCTACCGGTTTATTTTGAATTAATATCTTATGACTCATTCGTATCGTCTATATAATGCATACTTCACTCAGCAGAAATAAAGTTGATTACAATAGAGAAGTGGTTACTAAGAGTAAACCACCTGTATCTCGATCATCCAGCAACTTAAATCGGAGAAGATCTGGCAACATTCCATAGACATAACGTCAGTTCATTAATTACTGTTTCAGTGATGTCAAAATCCGAATTGTCGTCAATGAATTTCATCCGAAACTCAACAAAACGAATATTCGATGACTATTCCACAGTAATTAGCCTGCATATTGACCATACTAAATTGAAGATTCGAAAG